ACACAGGGAGGCACGCTGCGAGTCTCAGCGTGTGGATGGGAACAGGATGTGTGTGTGAGCGAATGAAAGAATGGGCAGATGAATGCTCTGTGTCCATATGGAAGGTGGACACCACGGGTGTCAGGTTCTATGTGTGCAAAGGAGTGGACTGTGTGTGTGTAAGTGTGCGGGAGGGGTCCTGGGGGGCATTTGAGACTGTAGAATGGCTGTGTGTGTGTGTGTAAGTGTGCGGGGGTCCTGGGGGGCATTTGAGACTGTAGAATGGCTGTGTGTGTGTGTGAGAGGGGTTCTGGGGGCGTTTGAGACTGTAGAATGGCTGTGTGTGTGTGTAAGTGTGCGGGAGGGGTCCTGGGGGGTGTTTGAGACTGTAGAATGGCTGTGTGTGTGTGTGTAAGTGTGCGGGGGTCCTGGGGGGCATTTGAGACTGTAGAATGGCTGTGTGTGTGTGTGTGAGAGAGGGGTTCTGGGGGGCGTTTGAGACTGTAGAATGGCTGTGTGTGTGTGTGCAAGTGTGCGGGGGTCCTGGGGGGCGTTTGAGACTGTAGAATGGCTGTGTGTGTATGTGTGTGTATGTGTGTAAGTGTGTGTGGGGTCCTGGGGGGCGTTTGAGACTGTAGAATGGCTGTGTGTGTGTGTGTGTAAGTGTGCGGAAGGGGTCCTGGGGGCGTTTGAGACTGTAGAATGGCTGTGTGTGTATGTGTGTGTATGTGTGTAAGTGTGTGTGGGGTCCTGGGGGCGTTTGAGACTGTAGAATGGCTGTGTGTGTGTGTGTGTGTGTGTGTGAGGGGTCCTGGGGGGCGTTTGAGACTGTAGAATGGCTGTGTGTGTGTGTGTGTAAGTGTGCGGAAGGGGTTCTGGGGGCGTTTGAGACTGTAGAATGGCTATGTGTGTGTGTGTGTAAGTATGCGGGAGGGGTTCTGGGGGCGTTTGAGACTGTAGAATGGCTGTGAGTGTGAACAGGATGAAGTGAGAGTGTAGAAGGGGGTTGTGTGCAAATGAGAGGATGTGTGAAAGGATTAACGTGTGGTGTGTATGCATGGGGTTGTGTGTGTAAAAGGCTGTTGTGCAGTGTGTGTGTGAAGGCTGTTAGTGTGTGTGAGCGTGTGTACAAGGTTGACAGTGTCTAGTGTATGTGCAGGGTTGATGGCATGTCATGTGTGCCACACGTGTCTAAGGGTTGACGTGCAGTATTTGAGTGTGATAGGTTCATGTTGTCTAGTATATGTTTGCAGAGTTGATGTGCAGTATGTGTGTGTAGAGTTGATGTTGCCTGCTGGTGTGTGTGTGTGTGTGTGTTGATGTTGTCCATGTGTATTTGTGTGCGGGGTTGATGTTGTCTTGTGTGTTGTATGAATGTGTGTGTGTGTAGTGTTGATGTTGTCTTGTGTGTTGTATGAATGTGTGTGTGTGTGTGTGGAGTGTTGATGTTGTCTTGTGTGTTGTATGAATGTGTGTGTGTGGAGTGTTGATGTTGTCTTGTGTGTTGTATGAATGTGTGTGTGTGTGTGTGTGTGTGTGTGGAGTGTTGATGTTGTTTAGTAAGTCTGGATAGTGTTGATGTGTGCTGTGTGTAGGGCTCATGTTATTTATTGTACATCTGTAAAGGATGCTATTGTGTAACGTGTGTGTGAAGGGTTGATAGTATGTTGTATTGTGTAACGTGTGTGTGAAGGGTTGATAGTATGTTGTATGTGTAACGTGTGTGTGAAGGGTTGATAGTATGTTGTATGTGTAACGTGTGTGTGAAGGGTTGATAGTATGTTGTATGTGTAACGTGTGTGTGAAGGGTTGATAGTATGTTGTATGTGTAACGTGTGTGTGAAGGGTTGATAGTATGTTGTATGTGTAACGTGTGTGTGAAGGGTTGATAGTATGTTGTATGTGTAATGTGTGTGTGAAGGGTTGATAGTATGTTGTATGTGTGTAACGTGTGTGTGGAGTGTTGATAGTATGTTGTATGTGTAACGTGTGTGTGAAGGGTTGATAGTATGTTGTATTGTGTAACGTGTGTGTGAAGGGTTGATAGTATGTTGTATGTGTAACGTGTGTGTGGAGTGTTGATAGTATGTTGTATGTGTGTGCAGGATTGTCATCGGCTGACACCAAAGAAAGTCCTACCTCTCTGTCTCTTCTCCCAGCCACCCAGGTCCTGGATCTGCTCAGTCCTGGCCCCTCCTTGGTCCATCTGTCCACCAGACAGCACAGCCTCTCTGGGTTCCCTTTTCGGAGCTGTCCCTCTCGTTAGTCCCTGCATCCCCTTCCTTCTGGCAGCCTCCCAGCCCCTGGTTCTCACTGGGCCCCTAGTCCCACATAGCCCCTCACTGTCAGCCTTCCTCTTGCCTGGGAGCCCCTCCCCCTCCCCTGTGGCAGTCCTGAAACTTTAACCGGGTGTCAAAAGTTTCTGTTTACCAGAAGCCCTTGAATTTTTAAGGACATATCAGTTCCCTCCCTCCGCCAGGGCCTTGCATCCTTTGCTGCACGGGCAGTCACTGCGAACGCAAGGCCAGGCCTGGATCAACGGACAGGATCCCAGGGCCCGTGGCCCCAAGCAGGAATGACAGCCACATTACATCCCCAGATGACGTAAGCCTGCTTCCTGATACACAGGCTCACATACCCATCTAGCAAAGCAGGTGAATACAGGCTGATGCTGTCAGGCAAGCATATCCACCACAGACAGACAGCCGTCCCCTGTGAGTGCACTATGCACACGTATGTGTATATGTGTATATGGGTGTGCACTTGTACACACATGTATGCACACTATTTTGGCTTTTGAGATAGGGTCTCCTATAGCCCAGGCCTGCCTCCAACTTAATGTGTAGACAAGAATGACCTTGAGCTTCTGATCCTCCTGCCTTTCTCTCCAGCGCGTTGGAGACAAGCGCTTGCCACCAGGAGTACTGGGGATTGGCACCAGGGCTGCATGCTAGGAAAGCTCTTCAGCAACCACATCCTAGTCCTATACTGTCTTAACACACATAGACACAGAAGCACAAGTATGGCCTCACACACACACACACACACACACCAGACACACTCACCGACACGCATGGAAACACATCGGGCACACGCCAACCATACACATTGCCATGCGCTGTGTAGACAGGATGACCTTAGCTTGAACACATGGATATATTCATATCCTAACACATAGGCACATACCTGACAAAGACAGACATCCAATGCCCGACGGACACACATATATACTCAGATTCGGTCAGGCATGTTGGCATGGTCTGATACACCCTGACATGGTCTCACATACACTTACTGACATGCACAGACCCCCATCCCTGACTGGGACCCGCTGCATGCATGGAAAGCCTGTTCACAAGTAGTCCCACTCACGTGCTGGTCATGCACACTCAGGGAAACAGTGTTACAGATATCCAAGGTGCCACACTGACATGTTTGATCAGTACTGACACACTGGCCCAGGTGTCACACTAAGATTCCCATCAGTGACCGGTGCTCCGTGTCCCGCTATGTCCCCGTGCTTGGCATAGGGAGTGGAACTACCTTTGCTGACTCACAGACACCTCCATGAGTACAGCCACACCCATGTCACTACTCAGAATACACTGAGCACAAAAAAATTGGCCTTGCTCAATCCCACACCACACACCCCAGGCGTATCTCCTGTCACTCTGTCTCAGAGGTTTTAGGGCAAGGAGCGTAGCATTCAGGGACATCCTCATGCCTGCGAGCCCCTACACACCCACCCACGCATACCTGGGCACCTGTACCACCCAGACAATGCATTGCTGAGAATTGCCACAGCTTCCTGACCCAGGACGCCCACAAGGTTCCGGCTGCACCTGGCAGTAGGTGGGAGCTCTGCCTTGGACAGGGGCTTCTGGGGACTGCAGACAAAGCCTCCTCACCCAGCCTGGGGTCACCCAAGGGTTCTCAGTGCCCTACTCCAGGGTATGCAGTACCCAGCTACCCCTCTGGCCCCCTTCTTCCTTCCCTCCCTCTCTGAGAAGATTTTTTCCTTCCTCCCTCTGTTGTTTTTGAAATAGGGTCTCATCACATAGGCCAAGCCAGCCTCAAACTATGTAGCCCCGGGGGCTGGTCTACAGTTCACTCAGGATCTTTCTGTTGTGGCTTCGGGAGTGCAGGGATTAGGGACATAGGCCAACCCACCCACCTCACTGCCATCTGCAGTGGAAGTGGAGAAGTCCTGGGCATGCGACAGGGGCTGGAGCTTCACCACAAGGCAGATAATGTTAAGTCCCAGGACATATGAAGTGTGTGTGCACGTGTGATACTTAGAAGAGTCTTTAAGGTTTGGCTATCAGGATTGCAGATCAGCATGTCCTGGGCCTGGGGCGTATCTGGGTAACACAATGTGATGTGTGTGCCCCTGTACAGTGATACTTTGTGTCCTTTGTATGGGGGTTCCAATGTGTCAGCATCCTTTTCATCAGTGTGTCTGGGTGGATTGACACAGCTGCGTGCCAACTCTGACTTGGCTGTGTGTTGGTGTGTCCTTGTGTGTCTGGAGTGTGACAAGGTATGGCTGTGTGATTGCACATGTATCAGTCTGCAGGAACATGTGTGGCAGGCGTGTATGTATGTCAGTATGGCTCTCAGCGTTGGTCTGCATTGGGACGACATGTGACAGTAGGTGGTGTGTGGCTCTTGGTTGTGTCTGTGCCCGGTGTGCACCGCGGTCTGGTGTGACTCCATGAGGAATAGGCCTCCATGACATTTGTGCCGGTCCAAACCCTGCTGTGTGTCAGCGTGTGTCGGCGCCCGAACGCCGGCCAGCACGTGTCGGGGCGGCCGCGTCGGTGTGCGTCCCCGTGTGTGTGTGTGTGTGTGTGTGTGTGTGTGTGTGTGTGTGTGTGAGTGCGCGCGTGTGTGCATGTGTGTGCGCGCCGGCCGCGCTCACCCGCCCGCCCGCCCCTCCCCGCGCCCCTCCTCCCGCCCGCGCCGCCCGCCCGCTCCCTCTCCCCGGAGTGCGCCGCTTCCAAACTTTGTCTAAACTTTCACTTTCACAGCGCGGCGGCGGCGGCGGCGGCGGCGGCGGCGGTGGCGGGCGAGGGCGACCGGCCGAGCGGCGGCGGCATGGAGTAGACGCGCGGCGGCGGCGGCGGCGGACGCGAGAGGCAGCGGCGAGCGCGGCGGCGGCCCGGAGCCCGCGGGGCCGAGCCTGTGAGCGCGGAGCGGCGGTGGGCCGAGCGGGGCCGCGGGCCGGGCGGGCGCCGCGCGGCGGAGGCCGGAGCAGCGGAGCCGGAGCCCGAGTGCCAGCCAGCGCGACGCCGCCTGCCGGGCCTGTCCTCGCCGCGGCCGGCCTCCGCGCTCGCGCCCGGGCGCCCAGCGATGTACTCCCCGTACTGCCTCACCCAGGTACCGGCCGCCGCCCCCACGCCCCGGGAGGGCCGGGCCGGGGTCCCGCAGGCGCGCGGGCTGCGGGCGGGGCGCGGGGCGCTGCCCCGGGGCGCGCGGCGGGAGTGCGTGGAGAATGGGCGAGGGGGGGCGAGTGCGCGCGGCGGGGCGCGGCGGACAGCGGACCCCTGCTGCTGCGCGGCGGGGCGGCGTGGTGGCAGGCGCGGGCAGGCGGGGTGACACGGCGGCAGGAGGCAGAGTGGCCCCGGGGCGCCGGGGAGCGCGGGCGGGCGGGCGGGCGGCGTTCCCTGAGCGCGGCGCGGCGCGGCGGCCCCCGGGGTGGCAGTAGCGGGCGTGCGGGCAGCCGCTCTGCGCGCGGCTGGGGTGCCCCGAGCGGCCCGGGCGTCTCCCCAAAGTCTTTGTTCAGGCCTCGCATGGGAGCGGGGCTGAGAAAATGGCGGGGCTCCCAAATTTCGGAGGGGCAGGGGGAGGGGAGGGAGGGACGGGCGTGCTGCCAGCCCGGGCCGCGCCTCTTTGCGGATCCTGGACGTTTGCAGACGCGGCTCCCCGGCCCCAAACTTTCCTCCATGCAAACTTTCCGGTCTCAGAGACCTGGACCGCCGCGGTGTGGACCTGGAAGTGCCCCAGGGAATCCCGGCCCGCCACCCGCAGGCGGGAAGGGCGGGAGCAGCGGTGGACACCACAGGCCGACCCCGTTGGGATCAGCCGTCGGGTCAGCCTCTGGCACGGCAGCGCCGACCTTGGCGTGCTGCGGGAGCGCGAGCGCGAGAACGCGTCCCGCCTCCAGCGAAGTTCCCTGCGCAGTGTAGCGGAGGCTGAGGCCTGGAGTATGCCTGGTCGGCCACCCCACTCTTCCCAGCCCTGACTCCAAGCTCTGAGAGGGCACAGGCTAGCCTGGTCCAAGACTTAGAGGGGCCCTCACAGCGCTACCTGCAGCACCAGGCCAAGGCAGGTGACAGACTCGGCAAGCAGAGGGGATTTGTGGAGGTTGCTTAGCCTTGCCTTGCCGGCCAGGCCTATCTTTGGGAGCTCTCTAGGCCAGCCTTGAGTCCCTAATGGCCCGCTCTTCTAAGCCAGAGCTCTATCAGACAAGTGCTAAATGTGTCCCACCTTGGAGTCGAGCACATGCCCAAGGTGTGTATAAAGGGCCAGGTAGATGAGGAGTAGGTCAGGATGTTTGGAAGGGGAAAAAGGTCTGTGCAGGCCCTTCGCAGTTCCCACGACACAGCCCACTTGTATTGCCAGGTACTAGTGTGTGTTTGTGAGCCTAGAATCTGTGTGTGGCCTCTGTGGGCCGGTGGTGGCCAGGCTGCGTGGCACAAACACAGATGACCAGGAGAGGTGGTCTGTCTTCCAGTACAGATCACATGCGAGTGTGTCAGCGGAGGAGCCCATGCACGCCTGCCCCACACAGTGTACACGCATGTACCTGACCGTCACAGCGGTGCGGGGCTGTACCTCCAAGTTGTGGACTATGTGACTTTGGGTCCCCCACAGGAGGATCTTGTCAGCATCTAGATCTGAGCCGTGGCTACTCTCGGGGTGATTTTCCGGCCTTGGTAGCTGGTGTTTGAGGCCTGGTGGGACAAAGACCCCAGAGTCCAGCCGCCGCCTTGTCCACCAGGCTGCTAGCCGGCCTCCAAGACAAGCTTGCCAGACATCTGGGCTGGCCCCTCCTCAGCCCACAGGTCGAATGAAGAGCCCACCCTGGGGAGAAGTGGCAGCTGGTACTCTGGTGACAAGGCTATGAAGGGACCAGGATGCCCCAGAACTGAGGTGACGGCCTCCGCTTGGCTCTGTGGCACTCCAGAAGGGAATGCGGGCTCCAATCTGTGCGAGTTACATCTTGCACGCGCCAGGCTGCCTGGGAGGGGAGTGGGCTCACCAGTCTGCCAGCCCTGCATGGTGGGCAGGGAAACCCCTTTGCTCAGGGTCCTTGGCAGCCTCCGGTCAACAGGGTCTGGCTGCCCCATATTTCAGCCACATCTCTTTTCGCAAACCTTTCTATCGCCCATCTTTGCTTTTCTAACAACCTTCACTGGCTGCCCCCCTCTCTCTCTCTCTCTCTCTCTCTCTCTCTCTCTCTCTCTCTCTCTCTCTGTCTCTCTGTCTCTCTGTCTCTCTCTCTCTCTCTCTCTGTCTCCCTCTCCCTCTCTCTGTCTCTCCCTTTCTGTTTCTCTGTCTTTGCTCGTTGTCTGTTCCTTGCTGTCTCTGTCTTTCTGTACATCTAGCTGTCCCTCTGTCCCTGTCTCTTCTGGCTCCGGCCTCCACCTCTGCCGCCCCATTTCACTCTCGGCCTCTCTCTTTCCCCACTCCTCACCACCCTCTCTCCCCTTTCTTTCTGATGCAGGATTGGCTTCGATTTTAAAGTCAATAAACGATTGAGCAGAGCCAAGCTTGGAGCGCAGGGCCCTGGGGGCGACAGGGGAAGGGTAGTGGGGGATCCCCTTCTAGAAAAGAGACACAGTGATTCATCGGCCGGTGGGGCAGTTGCTGGAGCTGCTGAAGTCCTTTGTAGTCGCTGAGTTTCAGGTGGACATCAGGAATGGGGTTGACTCAACAGAGATACATAATGCACTACCACCACTAACGGGAGGTCATAAACATTGTATTCACATTGACATCCAGACACACAACTCTTAGCATACACATCAACACACATGTGCCCCTAGAGATGGGAAATACGTATCCATGTAAACTCAGACATGAAAACCTCCCTGTCACGTAGCCATCAAGGCCAACCCATGTATTCATAACCACCAACACGTGCACACATCACCTCCAAGACCGGCTGTATGTGGACATGCCACAGAAGCAGTGGTAGCTCACAGAGTCATGGATTCGCCAGCAAACTGGGCCACAGCAAGTGTAAATGTGCCCACAAGGGCAAGATGAGCGGTGGATACATAATGCCCTTGGCTTTCAAGTTGTGAGCAGAGTCTCTAATATATGTGTAGATACACACCCATGTCTCCCCACTCCTGGCCACAAGAACACATATGCTAATAAGCAGATTAATTATGAACATACGCAAAGACACACATGGATGTACACAGGTGGGATCACCCTCGACACCTGTGCCAATCCACTCTGGTCATGGAACCCCTGATCTTGCATGGATGGACATATACATGCTCGAGGTAAGCTGAGGCCGCCTGCTGTCTCTTTCCCATGTCTGTAGCTTTTCCTGGCTCACTACGGCCACTCTTCTGTCCCTATAAGCTACAGACAGCCCTTTGTTCTTGAACGAGCTGATACTCACATTCTGTCTTTTCATTTGTTTCTTAAGATGGATGCCTTGTCACGTATCCCAGGCTGGTCTTGAACTTGCAGAGGTCGTCTTGCCTCTGCTGAGTGCTGGGACGACAGGGTTGAGCCACCATGTCCTAGCTTGGTAGTGTTGCTTTTTTGTTTGTTTGGTTTTTTTGAGACAGGGTGTCATGCAGCCCAGGCTGGTCTTGAACTTGCAGAGGTCGTCTTGCCTCTGCTGAGTGTTGGGACGACAGGGTTGAGCCACCATGTCCTAGCTTGGTAGTCTTGCTTTTTTGCTTGTTTGGTTTTTTTGAGGCAGGATGTCATGCAGCCCAGGCTGGCCTTGAAGTAGCACTGTAGCAGAGCAAACTCCTGATCCTCTGGCCTCCACCTCTCGAGCTGGGACCACGGTCGTGAGCTGCCGTGCTGGGAGTGCTGGGTTCTCTCTCTGGATCTGGCTCCTCACACACCTTCTACCCCTAACCTGAGAATGAAGCAGGCACAAGTTGGGCCACTTTTGGGACCACACTAGGGTCCTGGGAGAAGTTCCAATGGCGGACCTGGCTGAGCTCAGAGCCACAGCTCCGCTGGGTTAATACATCCCCAGAAAGAGCCTGGGTTCTTGACTTAGACATGAATGTCCATGCAGTTTCCATGGCTGCCAGATGGAGGCTGTGAGGACAGAGGTCAAGGACAGTGGGTTTAAGCTCCCTCTCTGCATGTCCTACTCCTGGAACTTAGAGTGGTGGTTTTCTTGGTCTGTGAAGTGCTTATGCATCTTTTGGCCCTGTGGTGTAACTCACTGTCGTGTGGGCACATGACATGGGCTTGAGAAGCGCCCCTTACTGTATTCGCCGTCGTCATGTGAGAAGGATCATCATGAAGGCAAGAACGCAGGGCGGTGCCCCTTCCCACCGTGGCAATCTCGGTGCGCTGCCCGGAGGAGGAAGCAAGAGTTTGGAAGGACAGGGCTCAGCTCTTCCTATTTTGGGGTCCTGTGGGCTGAGTGGAGAATGGCAGACTTCATAGTGGGGTGAGGTGACTGGCAGGAGATGACCGTCCCTGTCCGATGGGAAGCAGGTGTCTCTTAGTAAGGAGTGTGTGGGCACATATGGGTCTGTATGTGAGTGGGACAAAGCTTAGAGGCTTGGTTCATCCTGATAGTGACTTAGAGTTATCCCCACTGCCCCAGAGCCACGTCTCAGTTTGCATTTAATGTGAGGGGGACTCGCCATAGAGCAGGGCCCTAGGTGAGCATCGACTGAAGCAAGCAGGCTTTGGGGTGAATGCGATGGCTTTGGGACGAACCCTGGGATGAGCCTGGCTGGACTGTAGGCCTCCATGTTTTGAACTGCTTGGGTTCTCTGTCCCCAGGAAGGGGGCTGTAATTTGGGGTGCTGCAGCATTCACCCTCCAGTTGCATCAAGGCAGGTAGAGGAGGTCCCCCACCTACTTTCTCCAAATTGGTACTGGGGAGGCGGCTTCTGTCCCTAGTAAGCTGGGCCTAACAAGATGGGTGTCTCTACTGTCCTACTGGCTCCAACAGGCGGGATGTATCTATGTCGTTTTTCGAAAGCCCTGGGTGTGGGGTCCTGAGGTTGAAGGGATGACTATAGTAGGCCTCTAGGGTTACCAGGATTCCGGTATCTTGATGGGCATGCTGGGTGGTTTTACAGGCGTTGTGTCCTCAAGGACCCCTGTATGACCGTGCATGTGCTCCTCTCCGTTTGTCCCTCTAGGGATTGTCA